AAGTGTTTATAGTTGAATCCAACAAATCACATACACATTCATATTTAAATAAAATAAGACATTACAAATGAAATGATAAATTATCATACTTATGATAGTTATAGCCAAAACATTTCATAATGAAACATCTAGCCAATTTTAAAACGTTTTTGTCTGACAATTATAACCATTTTCGTTACAAATTTTAACACTATTACCACCTAGCTGAATTTTTTTTTTTTTTTGAAAAGCGGTGACTTTCATTTCATTCAATCAAGTAGAATAGAGAGTTCATTACAACAGTGTGATAGAACCCGCTAAACGAAGCTCTATCTAGGGATTTGGAATTAGGGGTCAATGAGAGGATGACCCGCTAGCTTGAATTGCAAGGATGAAGGGCAAGAAGGAAGTTTGGGGAAATTGAGAGGGAGGAAGCATAAGCTGCTCGGCAGCCAAGAGAGAAGAGGGAAGGGAGGTTCGGTCGAAGGAGAGAGGGAGAGAGAGGGAGGAAAGATTAGGTTTTTGATAGGTTTATTCTTGCTTGCCTTTCCTACGTAAAATAATAGTTTAAATACCTAAACACAATTGCCTACTGACTACCCCAACTTATTAATCCCCAAATTATTCCACAATAATCAAAATAAACCCGAACAAAATATTTCAAACCGAACATAAAAACCAAATAATTAAAACGTCTATCATTCTCGCTCCCTTCAAAACAACCTTGTCTCCAAGGTTGTTAGTCTTCCACCGCGTCTTCTCCTTCTCTCGCCTAATCTTCCGCCTCATCCTCCCACCTTCCGACCAGCATCATCAAATCAGGACGTGCGCACTTGTGACCTGTTGTGAATCTCTCGTCGCAATTAAAGCACTTCCCTTCCCGCCTCTTATGCTCGATCTCTGCAGGGGACAGCCGCACAAACCCCTTAGGTGGTGGCCGCATGCCACCCCTTGCCGCCGCGACTGGCGCCGACACCAGCGTCGGTCCCCCAGCACCGATCGAGTTGAAATTTATGCTAGCATTCAAGTCTAAGACTCACAAAGAGTTGCAATACTTAGAGAGTTGATTCTCATTTGCTGCTACGTACAACACTTCATGAATGCTTCTTAACTCTCGAATCAATAGTTTTTTTGTTTTTGTTTTGGAGTTGCTTATATATGCCCCAATGCTAAGCGACCTCTACTTTTCCCACTTGTGGATTCTCATTTACCTTCTCTTCAATCTTACGATGTACACTCTACACTATGTTGTTCAACTATCATATCAATGGAAATATGGAATGTTGTACAATATATTCATCTTTCCAAATCAATTTTTTACAATAAATCAATACAAAAACACATATATTAGCCTCTAAAAATGAATTTTACAAGCAAAACTATCTGCCTCTATAAATTTTATTAGATGCAAATGTAGTTGCCTCGTTAACTGATTTTAGAAACAAAAATATATGCCTCTATAGATACTTTTGGAGTCAAGTTTAACTGCCACTAAAAATCATTTTAGAGGAAAATACTTAAGCCTTTGATATTTGATATAAAGGCAAAATAAAAGTGATATTAGCGGCTAATATATTAGTTGCAGAATCTTTAATCACCAACAGATAATATATGCCACTATATTTGCTTCTATAAGGCTATATCCATTAGAGTATTTGAGGCAATGTATTATCTGCCTCTAAATATATACAGAAGCAAATAATAGACTTATAGAGGCAAATTCTCTTACCCACTATATATGAGTTTTGTTGTATTGTCGTGTAATAATAGCCTTATCTTATATTGGTTAATCCGGTTAATCAATTAACCAAATCGATTAAACTTTACTTTGGTTAATTTGGTTGTTGCATTAGTTTTAACGATTTAATTATGATATTGTATTCTATATTATAATCCAAAATATTCGTTAAAAACAAATCCAACATATACAAAGAAATTTTACTTTTTACCATTACTTTGTGAACTAGTAATTCAACTACAAATATAGAAATGTATCAAAATTTGGCACGAATTAACAATTCATCTAATAATATACACAATATTATGTATCAGTTGCAACCAGTTGCTTGCCTTATTGACACAACTCAACATCTTCTTGCTAACTCCCCCGGTTTTGGAATTCGACAGTCATACAAATAATAATGCATAAGATAAACATAAAGTGTTTATAGTTGAATCCAACAAATCACATACACATTCAGATTTAAATAAAATAAGACATTACAAATGAAATGATAAATTATCATACTTATGATAGTTATAGTCAAAACATTTCATAATGAAAAATCTAGCCAATTTTAAAACGTTTGTCTGACAATTATAACCATTTTCGTTACAAATTTTATAGTAAAAGGAATGTCAACCCAAATAAAATTTCAACGAAAAAACTGAAACAACCCTACTTCTGTATAAATTCATATTCTTTAGTTTTTTACTGCTATAATACCTTATTAACGTTTTGAATATACAATTATCCGAAAATAGATATTCCGTTGTTCTACTAGCTCTCTCTTCCGTTCCACAAGTCAGTAACTTAAAAGTAATCCGGCCACCGGACCGAGTTAAAAGCTGGTACATTTGTATAGCCAAACCTTTACGGGTTGTTTGTTTAATGGATTTGAAAAATGCGTGCTTTGGTAAAACCTGAGTTTTGAAAAACCATGAATATATGATGGATTTGGTGGCATTATGGATTTGAACAAGTCTATTGCTTGTTGGATTTGATTATGGATTTTGTTTGATTAGATCTGTGGATATGAAATGTAAATTACCTTGTTACCATTGTCTAATTATATTTCTATATTATAATCCAAAATTTTCATTAAAAACAAATCCAACATATACAAAGAAATTTTACTTTTACCACTACTTTGTGAACTAGTGATTCAACTACAAATATAGAAATGTATCACAATTTGGCACGAATTAACAATTCATCTAATAATGTACACAATATTATGTATCAGTTGCAACCAGTTGCTCGCCTTATTGACACAACTCAACATCTTCTTGCTAACTCCCCCGGTTTTGGAATCCGACAATCATACAAATAATAATGCACAAAATAAGCATAAAGTGTTTATAGTTGAATCCAACAAATCACATACACATTCATATTTAAATAAAATAAGACATTACAAATGAAATGATAAATTATCATACTTATGATAGTTATAGCCAAAACATTTCATAATGAAACATCTAGCCAATTTTAAAACGTTTGTCTGACAATTATAACCATTTTCGTTACAAATTTTAACACTATTACCACCTAGCTGTTTTTTTTTTTTTTTAAAAGCGGTGACTTTCATTTCATTCAATCAAGTAGAATAGAGAGTTCATTACAACAGTGTGATAGAACCCGCTAAACGAAGCTCTATCTAGGGATTTGGAATTAGGGGTCAATGAGAGGATGACCCGCTAGCTTGAATTGCAAGGATGAAGGGCAAGAAGGAAGTTTGGGGAAATTGAGAGGGAGGAAGCAGAAGCTGCTCGGCAGCCAAGAGAGAAGAGGGAAGGGAGGTTCGGTCGAAGGAGAGAGGGAGAGAGAGGGAGGAAAGATTAGGTTTTTGATAGGTTTATTCTTGCTTGCCTTTCCTACGTAAAATAATAGTTTAAATACCTAAACACAATTGCCTACTGACTACCCCAACTTATTAATCCCCAAATTATTCCACAATAATCAAAATAAACCCGAACAAAATATTTCAAACCGAACATAAAAACCAAATAATTAAAACGTCTATCATTCCCGCTCCCTTCAAAACAACCTTGTCCCCAAGGTTGTTAGTCTTCCACCGCGTCTTCTCCTTCTCTCGCCTAATCTTCCGCCTCATCCTCCCACCTTCCGACCAGCATCATCAAATCAGGACGTGCGCACTTGTGACCTGTTGTGAATCGCTCGTCGCAATTAAAGCACTTCCCTTCCCGCCTCTTATGCTCGATCTCTGCAGGGGACAGCCGCACAAACCCCTTAGGTGGTGGCCGCATGCCACCCCTTGCCGCCGCGACTGGCGCCGACACCAGCGTCGGTCCCCCAGCACCGATCGAGTTGAAATTTATGCTAGCATTCAAGTCTAAGACTCACAAAGAGTTGCAATACTTAGAGAGTTGATTCTCATTTGCTGCTACGTACAACACTTCATGAATGCTTCTTAACTCTCGAATCAATAGTTTTTTTGTTTTTGTTTTGGAGTTGCTTATATATGCCCCAATGCTAAGCGACCTCTACTTTTCCCACTTGTGGATTCTCATTTACCTTCTCTTCAATCTTACGATGTACACTCTACACTATGTTGTTCAACTATCATATCAATGGAAATATGGAATGTTGTACAATATATTCATCTTTCCAAATCAATTTTTTACAATAAATCAATACAAAAACACATATATTAGCCTCTAAAAATGAATTTTACAAGCAAAACTATCTGCCTCTATAAATTTTATTAGATGCAAATGTAGTTGCCTCGTTAACTGATTTTAGAAACAAAAATATATGCCTCTATAGATACTTTTGGAGTCAAGTTTAACTGCCACTAAATATCATTTTAGAGGCAAATACTTAAGCCTTTGATATTTGATATAAAGGCAAAATAAAAGTGATATTAGCGGCTAATATATTAGTTGCAGAATCTTTAATCACCAATAGATAATATATGTCACTATATTATAAGGCTATAGCCATTAGAGTATTTGAGGCAATGTATTATCTGCCTCTAAATATACACAGAAGCAAATAATAGACTTACAGAGGCAAATTCTCTTAGCCACTATATATGAGTTTTGTTGTATTGTCGTGTAATGATAGCTTTATTTTATATCGGTTAATCCGGTTAACCAATTAACCAAACTTATTAAACTTTACTTTGGTTAATTTGGTTGTTGTATTAGTTTTAATGGTTTAGTTATGATATTGTATTCCATAGTTAATAGAATTTAGATTTATTTGGTGTGGTAATTAGTATTTACCATAGTAACCATTTCAACACCGCAAAGTTAAATGGCGTCCTGCCAGGGAGCAGCAGTAGGAGGAAGGAATGCATACTAACCGACTGAGAAACTTCAGTCGGCGCCGAATACAAGCTAGTTCCCGTTTGATTTTTCGGCCAGCCGGAGCGAAGTTCCTAAAATTTCCGTCAAAGCGGGAGGGATTGAATTGCATCTATTAGTCTCACTCCTTCGTATCAATGGAGGCCTCGAACACAGCCGAACACGAGAAGCCATGGGTGAGAGATTTCCCTTCCCCTTCCTTCCTTATCCATCGGGTCATGCTCCAATTAATTTGTCTAATTGCTCTTTGATTTGGGTCCTCGACTTTAGGTTTTAAGAACTTCCCATTTCATTATCCCCATTCTGTTTGATGTTCATGTTCTTTGTCTTGGAATCTCGATCAGAACTCTGGAAAATTGCCCGGGACGGTGTCTTGGAGCACAGCAAGTATCATAGGATTCTTCACAGGGATGATATATGGAGGTGCTAAAGAAGCTTCTGCGTCAGCTGTAAGTTCTTTGCTGTGCTTTTTCCCGCTTTCCCTTTCCAGCCAGAGAACTAGAGTGTGTATGTTGTGGTATTGGGCAGAGCATAGATGCAGACGTGATGCTGAAGCTAGGCAGCACGCCGAACAAGGCCAAGCAGTACAACTTGATGAGAGACGCGATGGAGAGGCGGTTCGTTAAGGTCAGTCGTGGCGCCCTGGTTGGTGGGGTGCGACTCGGCATGTTCACTGCCGCCTTCTGTGGTCTGCAGAATCTGATGGCCGAGCACCGGGGTGGAGTGCACGATGTGTACAATGTTGTTGGAGCTGGTTCAGTTACTGCTGCAACATTTGGGCTAATCCGTAATGCTCTTTCGACTCGTCATTTCATTTTGTTTTTCCTTCTTCGTTTTAGGTTCTGCATAGCTTGCTGTAGAGTATAATTGATGTGATGGAACTTGTTATCGAAGATGCATCTTAGGCTGCTGACTGACATTTAGATTTGGCTGTCGTTATACAGTGCCTGGATCTCTTAGGTGGCGTGCGAGGAATGTGCTACTTGGATCAGTTCTTGGTGTAGTAGTATGTTTCCCTCTAGGTACTTCTCATACCTATCTCCTATTCATTCGATGTTCGGTTTGAAGTAATCAATTCTAAGTTTTCGGCAAACTGAAGAACCGTACGTAAGGTAGAGGGTTGGTTCAGGTGAAGAGAGTTTTAACCGTGAACAATGTGCAGGTTGGGTCCAAATGAAGCTGGTGGAGAAGGCAAATGAGGACGGTGGTAATTCGAAAAGAGGTGGCGCTGATGGTGGTGGTGGTGGTGTTGAAGCTGCAATCGAGAGGCTTGAAGCAAGAGTGAAAAGGTGAGATCATGGAAAGGATGACTGCAATCTGCCGCTCGAAGGGGCTAGGACAGGAAAAAAGATGGTGTTCTGAATCTAACTACCAAGAGGAGGAACGTCTTAGCGGCTTACTCAAAATTCACCTGTTCCCGTGTTATTGGGGTTCAAGATTCAGAATAAACTGCTTGATAGCTCTGTCAGGGTTCCTGTCTAGTTAGTTTGCAGGACTTCCTTAAATCGCTTAGTAATAGAGGTTTTGGTTGTTGTACAGTCACTCTTGAAACCCATTTTGTCATCTCCACTTGTGCAGTGATGATCGTTACAGCAAGTAGCCTTATTACGATTTACGGTCTATCCAATCGCGTCAAACGTCTCAGAATGATCAGCTTAGCCCTTTCAAGTTTCAATACTTGAGTCAAAAAGTTTCAATGTATCCATTTGAACCACTCTATAACTTGGAAGGAAAGAAGGGTGGAAAAGTCGAAGCAATGAGAGAGCCAAGAACTCTATATAATCAGCCCTGACATTTCATACACTAAATTACATATCAAAATTTTCCTCTTTCTATCGATTATATCCCAGAGATCGGTTTCTGCAGCTTCATATCAATAGAGCGCGCCCTTGAGTTGATGCTTCAGCAAGTCCCCCTCCATCCACAGGTATTTTTGTTTCGTTCACTGCTTCCACATGGTGAATTCAGCTGGAAACGATGCTGGGATGAGCTTCTGAAAGTTCGCCGAAATGAACGGAACAGCGCCATACACTCAGTAAAGAAGCTATTGTTCTTCTCCATTCCCTGCAGCTGAATTGAACTCGAGATTCAGAGCTTCTGGTTAAGCATCACGTTAATCTGACAGCACAAATGAGTTACTTGAACAACCAATAATGTACCTTCTTTCTGCTTTCGCAGCTCGTCTTCTCTCGCCTTTTTACTTGCCATCTTTTTTGTTTCCACAGCTGTAACATGGATTTTTTTTTTACAGTTCAGTTAGGTAAGTTATTGACTTGCTTGAAAAGAGATACTATACAGTATATACTGCTCGAAGATGGTACACCAGAACACATCTGAACGGTAAAAAAAAGCACATTCCTGGTTTAACAGACACTTACCCTTAAACTTTCGCTTCTTTTTGGCTCTCCTTCTCTTTCTTTCTGTTTGTGTAAGCTCTACTTCTGCTTTAACGTTCCCTTTTCCTGAAAAGACTTCCTCAGGAGCCAGCATAGCTGCATCTGAAACTGCAACTGGGGCAATCTATTCAAGGAAGACAATAACTTTATCAGAAAAGGACTGAGATCATCCACGAGTCTGGGGAAAGCAGGGAAAAAGCCTTCCTTTTTACCTCTTCCATGGCAAGAGCCGGGACATTTGATTGGATGGACATGTCCTCTATAATCTATTCATGCCAAACAACAAGAAATTGATGAAACCAGCAAACAAGGGGAAATCATACAGAAAATCAATATTAGGGAGGCATATCGAGGACAAGAAAACCATACAGGTTTTGGGGCGAAATGGAAGTGAGAAAGTGCATCTAACTTCAAGCAGAGCTTCTTGAACAAGGTGCTTGCCTGCCATAAGGTTTTCAAGGTTGGAGAAAGAAATCGAGTTAACAACATTGGCCAGATAGTGTACATTGATGATATGCGAAATGAAAAGATGCCATAATGAGAGAGAGAAAAAAAATACCGAAACACAGGTTATTTACCTCCTTTTTCTGTTCGTCCGAGAAAGATAATGGAGCAGCAGCTGGATCTGTCTGCTGTACAAATTCCTCCTGGAACAATTAGATGAAACAGTTGAGCCACAAGAGAACTGCCAAAATCCAATCTAACTGACATCCAGCTAATAGATTAGAAAGCAAAAATAATTATATCTGTGCTGGACAAACCTCATAAACTTCAGCAAGACCCTTGTTGCTCTTATTTTCATCCTGCAGTTTTTGGGAAATGAAATTATTGTTAATTTCAGTTATGAAGAATGGTAAAGTGAAAAGGACAACAAGGTTACAAGATAAAGAAAATACATCCTTACCACTGGTTTCAATTCTCTTGGTGCTTTGGAGGGTAAACCAGGAGCCCTTTTAATGTCATCAAATTGTCCCTGTAACATAATACCAAACTACTTGTGAGCACAGGATGGTTCTAAAACAAGTCAGACACAATATTACACAGAGTAGTAGCATTTACATCCAATTTCGCAAGCCAAGTGTAGAGCAGAAACTCAATAACACATCTATTATGCTCGGCGAAGCCAGGTGTATAGCAGGATTGGCTTATGCATTAACCAAATAGGTTTTTGGCCACTAGGGTTTGAAGTGCTTTTAATATATAGGCCAGATCAGTATGCTACAGAAGATCAGTCTTTCTGATATTTGCAATAGGCTAACAATGCAACTAGAAGAAAACACTTCATTTAAACATAAGTATAATAAACAATCCAAAAGAAAGATCTATCAGAAAAATTGTAGGAAATAATTCATACCTCAATGATCCTTTTCTTAATAATCTCCTCAAGTGATTGAGTGACCTCCTCAGTGATTACAGGGACAGGCCTAACATTATGCTCAAAATCTAAATCAACTTCTAATGCACTGTTCTTGGGCCTGTTTGCGGCTGTTACCTGTTGTTAATGCCATCATCACATAGTTTAGAGCTAAGTAAATTGACTGTTAAAGCCAAAAAGTAAAGGAGTGATTCCCTGAAATTGCATCACAGCAAATTTGAAGTTACCTCTCCCTGCATGGTCCAGGTTTTTGGATCCAGATTTGCTTTCTCCATTTTCTCTATCTCAGATTTGATTTTCTGAACTTCTTTTTCATGGGTAGAAAGGACTTTCGGTTTCTGCAGTACAAAATTTAACCATGTAAGCATTTGTTTTTATACATGTATGTTATTCTGAAACTAACATAAATAGGATAAACCAGACACAGTAGGGAGAAAAAAACACAGTTCATCATAATACTTGCACAGCAAGGTGAGAATATATAAACAATCAACCTTATTCACATTCTCATCATCATCTTCTTCTTCATCATCATCATCATCTGAGCTTAATTCTTCCTCCTTTTCCTCCTCACCTGAGCTTGAATCTTCCCCCAACTCATCTTTAAATCTGGGCTTCGGTTCTGAGCCTCCTTTCTTTTTGCCAAAGAAGTCTTCATATCTGAACATTAGGAAGCATGAGAGGCAAAATTTAGCACAAGCAAAGCAATGCACTAGTTCAAGTTCTCAAAGGTAGAATTCATGTTTCCCATTGAATAATAGCTAGAATCAATCACAAGGAAGTTAAAATAACAAAACAAACTTAATGGTACTGCGTCAAACTGTTAAAGATGAAACTTTGCACTTCACTTGTGCCAGGGAGAGAAATCAATTGACTTAAATGCCTAAAGAGAACTACACCATATTCAAATAGCTAAAAAAAGTTTGCAGACCTGGCGTTTCCCATCTCGTCCTCTTCATCCTCATCGTCTCCTCCGGCAAAGAGATCGACCTGCATAAAACAGAATTCCAGAATCAGAAGAGGGAAACAAAGTGGGAGCATAAAGAAAAAGCTTGAAGCTTGGTCCAAATAAATGAAGGGAAAAGGAAGATTGGGAAAACCCTTTACCTCTTCATCCTCATCATCATCTTCCTCCTTGTCTTCTTCGCCCTCTTCACTGTCATCATCTTCATCCTCCAATTTCTTGCTTCCACTTTTCTTCTTACTCTTCTTATTCTTTGCATCCAATCCATAATGCCGAGCTTCTTCATCCTCCAAATGCTCCTGCAATTCCTTTATCTTCAAAAACTTGTCTTCTATCCCTCCACTTTTCTCTTCCTCCTCTTCTTCACTTTCATCCCCTTCGTCTTTCCCACCATCCTGCTCTCCATCATTATCAACATCCATCTCCTCATCATCATCGTCATCATCATCATCCATGTCCATATCACCACCGTCGTCATCATCATCGTCATCAATCTCTTCCATTTTCTTCCCCTGAGCAACCTTCTTACCTCCATCAGCAACCTCTGGGAGCAAATTCTCAATCTCCGCGGGATTCTTTTCCCAGTGCTTGACCCGTCGTCGGATGCTACGAACCAGTGGCTGCGTCAGCAGGTCTATCTGCTGCCAGATTTGCTCGGCGTCAAAATTATCGACCAACAGTTCATCGAACGGCGATTTCCGAACGTGAGGCCTGAGAGACGCGAACAGGTGCTGAGAGGCCGCCCGTGCTGACTCCGAGAGCGATGCCGACGGCGCCAGCCATTGCGGAGGTTCTGTCGATTTCAGCTGGTGCAGCGCTTCCATCCCCGCTGCTTCGCTAGGTCTTCCCATGACTGCTAGAATATCACTCTGTGATTAGGGTTTAAGATTCGGGGGAGGGGTTTAAACTTTTAACGTATAGCCGTTTTAATTTTTAAAGAGCTGCGAGCCAAACCGGAAATTAGATAGAAACGAAGGACCAATTTGCAATTATCCAAACTTAATTGTCAATTTAGGGAATTGCTATTCGTCGCCCTAAAAAATGTTATTCGTCGCCCTAACGCTTAATCAATTTACCCTAATGTCCCTAGTTTATTTTTTTTCTTACAAACACAAACCTTCAACAACATGCAGACTGCCGGAAACAGAGTATCAACGGTTGTGGGAGTGGCAGTAGCGGCAGCTGAAATCCTGTTGGTGGGTGGCTGAGAGCAGAAGCGACGGATGAGGGTAGTGGGATCGGCGGGGAGCAAATTTATTTTGATACTTGTTTCATAATAAATTAAAAACAAAAAACTCAAATCCCATAACTGCAAAAGAAGAATGATATGCACAGCTGAGCAATTTTATGTTTCCTTCAAGGAAAGAAGACAAACGCACACCATTCCGAGCTTCTCTGCACGAAACCAGCATAGCAACTGTTGCTTCTCCGTCGCTCTCACCACTTTCTCCCTCTGTCGCCATCGCCGGTCATCTTGCTTGATTATGCTCTCCTCCGTGTTCGTTCATTCTACAAGAACCGCCCGCCGCGTTTTGATCGACTTCCTCGGAATCGGAGGCGAAGAGGAAGCAGTTCCATGGCTCTGTGTAGGCGGTTGTTTAGGATTTAGGTTAGAAATGGAGATTAGGGGTAAATGTGTCAATTTAGTGTGATTTAGGGCGATAAAATTTAAATTTTAGGGCGACAAATAGCAATTCAGTCAATTTATGGGTTTATGCTACATTTTGTCATTGAGATTATTAAATCGAGTCATGTTTAGTCACTAGAAAAATTTAATATAATTTTTGGTCACTTTAATTACGGAAACATAAAACGATGGCCTAAGAGAAAATAAGTGTTGATCCTTCTCTCTCTCTCTAACCTCTCGCTGCTAATCGTTTTTGCTCGCGATGGCGGCCTCGTCGTCGGAATCTGCTCCGACGACGGGAAAGGGTTCGGGGAGTTGTTCCTGGGCACAGTTATTCGACATCGCCCCTGAGAATCGGATGAAGTATCGTCCTCCAGAGCGTGTCAATGATGGGTTCCGCATCCCTCGGGAGGTAAAGCTGAAAGGGGAAGAGCGCTGGCGAGATTGCTTGATCGGGCAGTTTGTCGGAGCTCAGCCTAAGGTGGCGCAACTTCAAATGTGGGCTGCGTCAATTTGGGGAAGAGATTGGACTGTTCGGGTGTCTAGATTTGGTTCCCGTTTGTTCGTTTTCCAGTTTCCTTCGGCTTCAACCAGTAGGTGGGTTTTCAAATCAGGGCCATGGCACTACCAGGGGAATCAACTCTATCTCAGAAAGTGGGTGCCGGGGATACAGCCAGTTGTTCCTCAGGTTGAATCTCTCCCTATATGGGTTAACATTTGGGGTATACCATTGGAGTACCATTCGGCGGAAGGTTTGGAATGGGTAGCTAGCACGGTTGGCCCTCCTCTCTGGATGGATAAAACCACAAGAGTGGGTGGGCAGCTGGGTTTTGCTAAAGTCTGTGTTGATCTCTCTACGGATTGCGGGTTTCCCTCCTCGATTCGTCTCTATCCTGACGAGGATCCTAGTTTTGCTGTGGAGGTGGAGTACTTGAATCTGCCTAGGGTCTGTCCTGTTTGTGCTGTTTATGGGCACGATTGCAACGCTCTGGCTCGAAGTAATAAGAAATGGGTTGTGAAACAGAAAATTCAGACTGCTGATCAACCTTCTTTGGGGGCTTCAGAGGAGTCTGTAGAGGGAGAGCCTGTGCTGCGAGTGGAAGCTGGTGCTGAAGGGGATCACTTAGTTCAGTCTGTTGTTAGTGCTGTGTTGGTTGACAAGCCACAGTTGCCAATGTCTGGGGATGCTAGTGTGGGTGTTCAGGATGTCTCAAACTTACCTGCTGCAAATGGGAATGCAAGTGCTAGGTTTGTTGATGTAGTTCTGGGATCAGTTGACACTGGAAGTCCTAGTTCTCTTCAACAGCAGTCTGAGTCTGCTAGTACACCTGGTTCAGGGAGGCTAATAACTCAGACTCCAGCATTTGTTAAAGAGCCCAACCCCTGGATAACTGTTGGTTCTAAGAAGAAGCCTACTACTCCTAGGGTCATTGAGCCTGTTCTTCCTCGCAAAGGGGGGAGGATTGGTAAGAAGAAATGAAGATACTTACATGGAATATCCGGGGGTTTAATGATCCGGATAAGAATAAAGCTGTTCAACAGCTAATTACTATACATAATATAGATATAGCAGTTATACTAGAACCTAGAGTTAGGAGTAATAAGGCTGATGATATGATTAATAGGCGGTTTTCTGGTTGGAAGTCTAAAGTCTCTAATAATTCTGCTGGTTTGGGGAAGTTGTGGCTTTTGTGGAAGGATGACATCAAACTCCAGGTTCTGCATACAACTGATCAGCTCATTCATGGTATGGTTGGATCAGGGGTTCCTTTCTTTTTCTCTGCCATTTATGCCTCTAATGAGGAGGCTGACAGAAGAATTCTTTATGATGATTTGGTTAAATATCAAGTGGACTCTCTTCCTTGGGCTGTGTTTGGGGATTTTAACGCTATTGGAGATCCAAGTGAGGCTTCAAATCAACCTCAGGTATCAAGTAGTATGTTTGATTTCAAAAAGTGGCAGTATGACTGTGAAGTGGAAGAGCATAAAGCCTCAGGGCCATGGTTCACATGGATCAACAAACAGCAGGGCAATCCAATTGCTAGAAGACTTGACAGAGTATTTGTTAATACTAAATGGTTGACTGATTTGCCTTCGAGTACTGTGGATCTTCTTGATCCCTCAGTTTCATATCACTGCCCCATCTTGATTGATTCTGACTGTTCAGTAAAAACTTTGCCTAAAATGTTCAATTTTCTTAAGTTTTGGATTAAACACCCTCAGTTTATGGAGCTGGTTAAACAGGCTTGGAGCACGCAAGTTGTTGGGTCTCCTTTGGTTCGAGTGGGTCAGAAACTGAAGATTTTGAAGGGTTTACTGAAGAAACTAAACATAGAGGTGTTCTCTGATCTGACTGCTAGAGTAAAACTGAAAGCTTCTGAATTACTTCTGGCTCAGGCAGAAGCACTAAAGCAGCCCTCATCAGCTACATTTGAGATTGAGAATAGACTATCTAAGGAGGCTAAAGAGTTGAGAGAAGCTGAGGAGTCTTTTTTCAGACAAAAGTCTAGGGAAGTCTGGTTAAAGGAGGGAGACTCAAACACCCCTTATTTTTTCAGGTCAGTCAAATCCAGGCAGAAGAAGAATATGATTAGATCTCTTATTGATGAGAATGGGAATAGGGTCACTGACTTGGAGGGTATGACTAAGATAGCAGAGGATTTTTATATAAATCTATCTATAAGATATATGATGGAGATTCATGACTCAACTTTCTTCCATTTCAAATTTTCTGCAACGAGAGTGAAAGTAGGAAGGGTACCTTCGTCATTGCAATTGTTTATTTTTTATTTGAAAAAAAATATCAGTGTCAAGATTTGAACCCGAGTCTCTTCTAACAAGGACAAGAGTCATAACCAATAAGACTAAACAAATTTGTTGCATTTATTTATAAAAAGAACATAGAAGAGGCAAAATTCTGAAAATCAAATGACTTTTCCAGCACAGTTAGCTACCCCACTAAGTCTTTCTTGAGCATTTTTAGTGTTGGATCTTTGATTATCAATTATTATTATTATTTTATTTTGACTTCAATAATAATGGTAGTCTATCTTATAAATGGAGGATAATCTTAAAACCGCAATCCAAATATCATTTATTCGAATATTGCATATCAAATTACAATATTAAATATATATGTGCACACACAACCACATATATATGGGTCAGATTGGTGTACTCCTGGAGTATACTATACTTCAGGTACTCTTCGTGAGATATCTCTATCTAGACCATGATTTTTAATCGAGTTTGGGGTATGATACTCTACCCTAACCTCTAATGGATAAACCCCAGGCCCCGATTCTCTAAACTCAAACCCAAAGTTCAATTTAATGGAAAATTATAATTGACCATTGAGATTGATTGGAGCTCAACAAAGTACATCTAATGTCTAGATCATGTGGAGTATACTATACTCCTGGAGTATACCAGTATGTGTGTGTAGTGTTTTCTATCATATTTTAAGTAAAATCAAAAGGTAACTCATACCCTTGGTAAGAAATGGCAATCTAGACTTTGAATTAACCTTATTTCGAGATGAGACACTATATTCTAACCCTTGACGAGTGAACTCTAGGTCTTAACTATTTAAATCATAGACCCTAAACCAGGGATTATAAAACCTCATCAGAGGTTGTACCGAAAAAGTCGGCAGGAGGGTATTTTATGCGAAAACTGTGGTTAACCATGATTCAGTCGTTTCACAACACTACACAGTGCCTACCGGTTTAGTCGAACCCCCGGTACATTAAGGGTTTTCAATCCTTGCCCTAAACACTAAGATTATGCACATAATTTTTTGGATGTATTTTGATGAAACACGACCTTCGATTATTGTTTCTAATAAAATTGATCTTAGTATATATATGAGCTTCATAGAATTAAGACCTAGATTTTAATCTGTAAGGGCTTAAGGTATAGTACCATGTCCCTAGCTCCGGCCACTAGACATCATTTTCATACTCAGATTATATCATTCAAGGTCTATATATCATTTCCTTATGTCATTTTCTTACTCAAAATATGATAGAACCACCCATACTTATAGTTGTGTTATCCTGTCGGAAAGTCATTTGTTCTAAATGTTAGTTGGTTGGACTGCAGTTTTATCAGGGTTGTATGTTGTTTGAAACATTTTGAACTTCATTAGTCAAATATTTTTAGTACTCCTATATTATTTAGGGATAATATCCTATTTTGTGCTGAACTTTGACGTAAATAACAATTTTGGCATGAACATTCAAATAAGATAGTTTTGTCCGAATTTGAAAGAAATTAACAAATTTGACCCGAAATTTGGGTCGGTTATTAATATTGAGGGTCAAACATTTCTTTTTTCTATGACTCAACATACAATGTTAAGGTGACTGTGGTGTGACTTTCACGTCATAGGTATAATATGTTATTTTGCCCTACACTTTCAAATAAGACAGTTTTGTACGAATTTTCAAAGAAATGGAACTTTTACCCAAAATTTAGGTTGCCGTTAATATTGATGGGAGGGGTACAAAGAGAGATAGTTTCGTGCTTTGGGATTTTTGGGGGCCTGAATCAATTTCTTTTTCCTTTTAATACAATTTATGCAAGTAAATATGAAAATATTAGGATATACTAAGGGTCCTATTTTGTGGTCTTTTTTTCTTCTGAAAAATTCACTTTTTTAGACTTTATAAATAAATGACTTGGAAGCCACATCGCAACCGAAACCTCTCTATCACAACCGTCAATATTAAAGGTCAATCCAAATTTCGGACCAAATTTGTTCATTTCTTTCATAGTGCAAACAAACCTATCTTATTTGAAAATTCGAGCCAAAATTGCCTTTTACATCAAGTTCATGCCAAAATAAGGTATTATCCCTATGACATGGAAGCCACATCGCAATCGCAACCACCTGAGCATTGTATGTTGAATGGATGAAGAAATTTTTAACTTTTAATATTAACGAACAACATAAATTTCAGTTCAAATTTGTCCATTTCTTTCAAAATTTTGAAAAACTGTCTTATTTGCAAGTTCATGTCAAGTTTGGCTTTTACGACAAACTTCAAGGCCAAAATAAGGTATATCCCTATTATTTATGGTCAACTTACCAATCAAAGTAGTTAGTGAAAGTATCAGCAACACTGACAAAGACAAACATATATAATTCAAAATTAGTTGCACTCAGCCTTAAGTTTGAAGCTCTCTTGAGAACCCCGACTATTTTCTAGGCATCTTCGAGGACTACGGACTAGCATGCTTCCAAACCAACTGATCCTTATTCTACTTTCTATGAAGAGGAATAATATGGGTGTATCTGTTAGACATTAATTAGGGTTACAAATGATCTCATTCCTAAAATCTGTTACAAATGATCTCATTCCTGAGGGTTCATTATGTATGTTTTAGGAAAACCAACTCTAATCTTGAACTATTTGCCATTTTTAAGTATTGAAAACCTATTATTTGTATGTTTTTCTTTTCTTCTTTGAACAATTATATTTCTTTTTTCAGTGATATGTCGTATCTTCTTATTATATTGTAAGCATGTTATATGAACATATTTTTTGTCTAGACTTTCCCGGCCAAGGGGCCGGGCCCGGTGCTAGTTGGGAGAGGTGGATAAAGAGGTGATTGCTCCTGAGGATGATCAATTACAAAGCTTGCTGTTAAAGAAACTTGTTCCTGCTCAGGGGATTGAATTATGTAAACCTGTCACTGCAGAGGAGGTCAGATCCACTATGTTTGGTTTCAATGGGGACAAAGCCCCTGGCCCTGATGGGTATCCTGCTTGTTTTTTCCAGGCAGCTTGGAGTATTGTGGGAGGAGAAGTCACAAGTGCCATTCTGTATTGTTTCCAAATGTCCAAAATCCCAGTAAGTGTTAACTCTACACTGCTTGCTCTTATACCAAAAGTTCATAGTCCAGAAGATATGAAGTTCTTTAGACCTATAGCATGCTGTAATATACTCTATAAATGCATTGCTAAGATTCTTGCTACTAGGTTAAGTGCAGTAATGCCTTGTGTTATTAGTGAATCACAAACAGCTTTTGTTAAGGGTCGGATTATAGGGAAAAATATCCTATTGGCTCATGAACTAGTTCAGAAGTATGGTAGGAAGAATATCTCTTCGAGGACCTTAGTTAAAGTTGATCTCATGAAAGCCTTTGACTCAGTCAATTGGACTTTCCTATTCAGAGTTCTTGAGGCCATGGGTTTTCCAAACAAATTCCTTAATTGGTTGAGAATGTGTGTCACTACCCCTAAGTTCAGCATTGGGTTTAATGGGGGATCAGTTGGTTTCTTCCCTGCTAAGAAAGGGTTGAGGCAGGGGGATCCTCTTTCCCCTTACCTCTTTGCTGTTGCAATGGAGGTTTTCTCCTGTTTGATGCACAAGGTTGTTTCTCAAAATGCTATGCCTTTTCACCCAATGTGTAAGAGATTGAAGATTACACACTTGATGTTTGCGGATGATTTATTGCTATTCTCTGATGGGTCTAACTTTGGCATTCAGTACATTAAGAAGGTTTTGGATGAATTCAGATACATGTCTGGATTGAAATCAAATCCTTCAAAATGCGAACTATACTGTGGTGGAATCGATGCTCAATGGCAGGTGCTGATGTCTCAGCACTCAGGGTACAAGCTAGGGGCTCTCCCAGTTTGTTACTTAGGCCTTCCCCTGCTCCCTGGTAAGCTTTCCATCAAGGCCTGTAAGCCTTTAATTGACAAAGTCATGCACAGAATCAATAGTTGGAAGTCTAAAACGCTATCTTATGCTGGCAAACTTCAACTGGTGATGGCTGTGTTATATAGTATGGCTCATTTCTGGATGTCGATTTTCATTCTTCCAAAAGCTATCATAAGAACTATAGAGAGAATGTGTAGTGACTTCTTATGGGGAGTAGGTGAAGGTGCTAGGAAAAAGGCAGTGGTGGCTTGGTCTCGGATTACATTCCCTAAAAATGAAGGGGGGCTTGGACTTAAAGACTTGCATACTTGGAATCTTGCTTGTGTAGTTAGACATATCTGGGCAGTTTTGGTTAGACAGGGATCACTATGGGTGGCTTGGCTATGGGAATATCGAATCAGAGGAGGGAATTTCTGGACTCTTACCTCAAAAGCAGGGTCCTGGTTGTGGCAGAAGGTTTTGAAAATCAGAGACAAACTTAGAGGATTGATCTCTGTTGCTGGTGACAGGGTTTACTGGAAGGGGTCTCTTATGGACAAGTTCTGTACAAAGAAGGTTTGGGAGGAAATCCGCCCAAAGAAGGTCAAAGTCTCTTGGGGGAAATTGATTTGGAAAGGTGCTTGCATCCCCAAAAAACAATTTCTGGTTTGGTTGGTTGTTACGGATTGCATTACTACTGGTGAGAAGGTTCAACGGTGGGGAGGTCCTGGTGATTTTGGCTGTGCTTTCTGCTCTTGCATTCTGGAAACTCGAAATCATTTGTTTGCTGCTTGTCCTTTGTTTAAGCAGTTGTTTGCAGCTTTACTTGGTAAATTTGCAGTGAGAGTCCCTGGTGATCAATGGGAGGAAGAACTTCAGTAGGCCTTGGCTGCTTTTAAAGGCTCCACTGTTGCTTTACAAGCAGGGAAGCTGATATGGCAGGCATTGGTTGCGTCAGTATGGAGAGAGCGTTGCTTGATAAAGTTTGCAGGGAAGCAGCATGATTTCCATGCCTTAGTTCAGAGAATTCAAGGAGATATCAGAGTAATGGTTGACCCTTCAGTTGTAAATCTATTCTTTTGAGTGTCTTGATAGGTCTTTGAGTGTTTAGGGATTGTTTCTCCCTTCTGCTCAGCTGGCAGAGCTGTTGCCAGCGACGTACTTGGTCTCTGTTTTTGATGAAATGAAATCCCAACCGCTTCATCAAAAAAAAAAAAATACGGAAACATGTCACATTTAGTCACTCTCCTGCTAGTTTCCGTCCAACTCCATTAATGCAGTTGGATCGAAACTAACGGGAGAGTGACTAACTGTGACACGTTTCAGTAATTCGAGTGACTAAATGTGACATGTTTCAGTAATTCAAGTGACCGGAGTTGGATGGAGGGTAACAGGAGAGTGACTAAATGTGACATGTTTCAGTATTTCGAGTGACCAAAATTAATATTAAATTTTTCTAGTGACTAAACACGACACGATTTAGTAATCTCAGTGACCAAATGTGACATTTACCCGTCAATTTATCTTATCGTAAATCTTAAAACGTCGCCGTCAAGGGCGGACATCAGGCCACCACCAAAAACGAACAGAAAGAGAACAAACAAACAAACAAAATTCCTACTCCGACGAAAATTCAATCGAAAAACATTTTCCCGAATCCTCACGCCTCTGATCTTCTTTCCGTCTGTCATCTCTCTGTTTCCGCCCGACGCCTGTGGACGGTGGCTGACTGAATCGAATCAAGCTTCCATGGATCCCTAATTTGTCTTCCGCATCCGATTCTTGGTTGTTTTTTAGGAGGTTCGTCTTTTGATCCGATTGGATCTTTGATTAGTTTGTTAAGAGCGTTTTTCCTCCTGAATTCGATTCCATTTTTCCGATTTCAAGTTTAAAATACCGGGGAGACGGACTGCGATGACTAACGGTGAGGTGCCTGGAGGCGGGTGCGTCCCGTTGGGAACAACTGGCTCTCATGATCCGTTAAATTTGTCCCCGGCGAAGTCGGAAGCGGGTGATCTGTCGCCGGGTTCGTTGTCGGAGTACTCGTCGTGTGGGGAGTCGGAGTTCGAGAGGTATTGTAGTGCAAACTCGGTGATGGGGACACCCAGTATGTGTAGCTCGCTTGGACCGGCCAACGATTATCTGGAGTCTGAGTTTGGTTCTCTCAGGAGTTTGGAGAATTTTAGTTTGGGAGGGGGGATTGATAGGGATGTGGAAGGACGGAAGCTGTCGGATTCTGGTGTTGATTGTTTGAAAAGGGGAGCGGTTGATGTGGGGGATGATAGCCGTGGAGTGGGATTTCATGGTGGTGGAAGGGTGCTTGGAGAGACTAGTGGACTGACTGGAAAAGTGGAAGGTTGGCAAGATGGTGTTCATGAGGGTAATGGTGAGGCTGGTAGTGATGATGCGCTTGGGAAGATGGTGAGTGAGGGAAATGATGGTTTCTTAAGTGGGTTGGAGTCGGAGATGCATTTAAAGTCTTACAAAGAGAACGTAGGGTTAGAAGGGGAGGGCAATGGGGATTCTGATGATGAGGATGATTCCATGTATGGCTGTGGTTCAGATGATGAGAATAGGAAGAATTTGTATGTCCAGGGAAAAGTACAATATAGCAAGGACGTAACAGTAGACAGCGAGAATCCATTGCTCATCAATTCGTCTGTAGCTTTTGGTTCAGATGATTGGGATGATTTTGAGCCAGAAATCGCTGGTGGTAATCTAGCTTCTCTTACCCTGGATGAATTTCAGGAGCGGCATGGACAAGAATTAGGAGCTCAAAGAATGTTTCTTAGTTCCATGCCCATGACTGGGGCAGCGGTTGCTGGTCCAACTGAGGTGGGTGGACTTGTGACAGAGGCTCTCACTTGCAGTAAACGAATTGCAGGTTTTGGATCTGATGAAGATATTGGTGGCTGTTCTCTGGCTCCTATATGTCTTCAGAAGTCTGAACCAGAGCAATTGGAAGGGGTGAGAGATATTTCTGTAGCCAGTTGCCAGCTCAAAGTAACTGATGGACTGTCCAAGGATCATAGAAGCTCATCATCTGTTGCATCTGATCTTTCAAGCATTTGTGGACTAGACCAAGAGGATGTTAGGGATCACAGTCTTTCTTATAAAAATGGGGTTACTAACGTCACAGCCGAGCTTTTTAAGGACAGTTCAATAAGTGATTTGCATGAGCTGGAGCTTGATCCACTAGATGGAAAAGTTTTTGCAGGGCTACAATCGGAGAATTTAAGTTCTGACAAGCAAATGGAATCCCAATATATGAGCAGGGGGGACATCGGTTTTATGAGTGATCACAAAGTCTCACAAAATCTAGAGACTAAGAGTGTCGAAGTAAAAGTTGATCCTCCCCTCACTCATCATTCTAAATATTCTGGGACACCTTACTTTGAAGATCATGAATGGACCTCCACTCATTCAGCAGTTCAGGATAACAGTGGTGAAACATCCAAAGTCACTTCAGACTTGACAGTTACCTCCGATTATCATCGAATGAAGATTGAGGTCAGTCTTAATCCTTTTGTTGCTTATGGATTTCAAGTGCTAGTATTACTATTATCCTTCAATCTAGAGATTGAAAAATAACTAAGCCTTTGAATTTGTACATCCCTTGCACTGAATAATCACTAGCTATTTTACAATATCATAACATATCTCAAGAGTATCACTAGCTATTAGCTAATGTGATTAGATTTTATCAACATACAGTGTTTGAGAATTTGAGCTACATTAATATGTGTAAGTCAGATACTTTCTAAGTTAGTAACTGAGCATATATTGCTCATCCTTTTTGTGCTGACTACTCTGCCAGACAGGAAACCTTGAGCTCAATGAATTTTATGATGAGATTGTCAATGAGATGGAAGAAATCCTTCTTGATTCCCATGAATCTACAAGGCCGAAGTTCCTCCAGGGTAACTACAGTTTTCACTCACAACTAAGTTTGCCACAAAGAGATGGTGGAAGAACTGCCTCAACTTCTGGATCAGTTGATACTTACTCATTAACCAAGCAGTTGCAGAGAATTCATGGAGCTGATGTGATAGGTGCAAAGCAAAAGAGAGGAGATGTCTCATTCAGTGAAAGATTGGTCGGGGTCAAAGAGTACACAGTTTATATTATAAGGGTGTGGAGTGGTACAGATCAATGGGAGGTTGAACGTAGATACCGAGATTTTCTGACACTGCACCGTCAGCTCAAATCATTATCTGCTTATCAAGGCTGGTCTCTACCTTTGCCCTGGTCATCTGTGTGGAAGGAACCCACAAAATTGTTTGGCAGTGCCTCTCCAGATGTTGTTTCTGAGAGAAGTGCTCTAATTCAGGAGTGTTTGCATTCAATTCTACAGCCTGGGCTCTTTTCTAGTCCTCCCAGTGCATTGTTTTGGTTTTTGTGTCCTCACGATTCCTTGCCTAGTTCTCCTGCGTCGGAAACACAAGTAACTGGTTCTACAATTTGGAATGGTGGGGAAACTTCAGGAAGTCTAGCCAGTTTTGGGAAGACAATATCACTGGTTGTTGAAATTCTGCCTCAGAAATCTATGAAACAGTTGTTAGAAGCACAGTATGATACTTGCGCTGGATGCCACAAGCATTTTGATGTCGGTAAAACACTTATTCGTGATTTTGCCCAGACCCTTGGCTGGAGAAAGCCTCGGGTATGTGAATACACTGGTCGATTATTTTGTTCTTCTTGCCATACAAACGACACTGCAGTTTTGCCAGCACGAGTACTTCATTATTGGGAGTTCACCGAATATCCAGTCTCTCAGATGGCTAAGTCCTTCCTGGATTCCATACACGATCAGGTAAATTGATATTCACCTTTTCTCTTGGGTATGCATATCCATATGTATCCATGTCTCGTTAGATATTGAAGCTGGGCTCTGAGGGCGTGAAAGATGTGATTATTTACTTTTTAGCAAATTTGAAAATTGTGATATGTCAGTAGGAAAGTGGACATTGGTTAGTGTTAAGTGCAGAATATTAGAATCTGCCTGGAGCTTGTGATACAGTTGCAGAAAGATTCTTAGTTCAAGATTTTCTAGATCATATGTTCTATGGATCTACTGCTCATGCTTCAAATTTATTGGTTCATCATTCTGAGTTCACTGATCTGTTTGCAGCCAATGCTCTGTGTCAGTGCCGTTAATCCTTTCCTGTCCTCCAAGGTACCGGTCTTGCGCCATGTTATGAGTGTCAGGAAGAGAATAGGAAGCATGCTTCCTTTTCTTCGCTGCCCATTCCGCAGGACCATAAACAAGGGACTTGGTTCTCGAAGATATCTTCTTGAAAGCAATGACTTTTTTGCACTAAGAGATCTCATTGATCTCTCCAAAGGAGCATTTGCAGGTTTTCATCTAATATGCATGCTTAAATATTATGTGTGTTTGATATGCATTGTGCATTTGTGTTTGAAATATGAGATATCTTTTTGCAATTCTCTCCAAGGACCCATTTATCCTCTCCATTTAAGGAATGCTGTTGACAGCCTCAAACGTTATAGAACAATTCTTCTTCCCAGGACAGGTGGAAGCAGTTTGAACATTAATAGTTTGATCTTTGTTTATCTGATCTCCCAACCCTTCATCTGAGTGTCGAATCTATCACTGTACGTTCCCTCTTTAATGACATCGGAACTCGTTCAGCAGTCTGGTTGTAGCCGTAATTTGCCTTCCTCATTCATGTTTTACTCTCTCTTACTGATGTTTCCTTCGTAACTTGGAAGTTTTCCCCTCAGCTGTCTTTCTTCATTTTGTGTAACCATCCTAATTATCTTATGCTGTCTTTCTTTCTCCATCCCTCTTGATGTGTTTATACTTTGATGCAGCCCTCCCTGTCATGGTTGAAACAATGTCCTCCAAAATCCGCGAGCATATAACAGAGCAATGCCTTGTATGCTGTGATGTGGGAATCCCTTGTGGTGGTCGTCAAGCTTGCGATGACACATCTTCACTCATTTTTCCCTTCCAGGTTTACATTCTTACGAGTACTTATTTTATGATTTTTTTATCAACCGTATTAATGGATATGCTTGTAGGGAAGTTTTTGCTACTGAAAGCAGATAACATCAAGTTTTTGTTTGATAGTGATAGATACCTGAAATCACCCATGATAGTGCCGATTTTATTAGACAAAATACTGTACTGCAGTAAATGTTTGCTGAGATAATAGTTCTTTTTCACTATGCGAGTGGCTTACAAGTGACCAGATTTCAACCGTCTTCGTTAGGGTAGTAACTTCCTTCTCTAATTCGGACATGTTTTCTGTCGATGAAATGAAACCAGGAAACTGAGATTGAGAGGTGCTCCTCCTGTAACTTGGTGTTCCATAGATCCTGCTTCAGAAAGCTTCCAACCTGTTCTTGTGGAGCACGCCTGGGAGGCACTGATGCTGTGATTCTGGCTAGCAGATCAATCCAACCACAGGTCCATAACAGATCGCTGGGAAGATCAACATCCGGTTCAACTGCTCGGTTACTCTCTGGACTGTTCTCAAGGGGAAAGGCACACAAGGCGAGTGATCGCAAGGACAGTGACCCTGTGATCCCGATGGGTTCTTTGCCTACTTCAGCACTTCTTGACAACCTTTAAGGCATCATCAGCTGATTGAACTCCAAGTAACCATCTATCAAAGTAAGCAAAAAAAAAATTAGGCTGGTTGAAAGAACTCCATTTTATTTTTGAAATCCAAACTTTCTGGGTGCATTCTTTGTTAAGATTTTCCACTTGTCTTTTCTGTCGCCATTAGAAAATAAAAGGAACAATTAGATACGAATTGTAAACCATCAAACTCAGTTTTGAAAAGGCATCAGATCCTTGTTCAGAAGAATGAAATTTGGAGGGGGAAAAAATGGAAACTGATAAAGAAGAAGGAAGATCTTCAGATCCCTTTCTGCCATGTCGCCTGCAATTTTGCTTGCTGCTTTTGTTTAACTTTTCCTAACAATGGTATGCATCCGAAAGAGAAGAAAGAAAAGAGAGAGTGTCTGTCTGTTCGTTTCTTTCTTTGCACTCTGCCCTGTTTTCATACAAGTACAATACGAGCTTAGCATGCTCAAAGTAGGGCAAATATGCCCCCCTATGAGCTAGTGGTTCGGGACGTCTCTCTTTCAAGGAGGCAGCACGGGGTTCGACTTTGCTTGGGGTACGTTATTATGAAAGGAAGTCGTCATCGATCATTTAGCCATTAACAAGTTCGGAATTGATTCTTCTCGGGTTAATACCCGAGCGGTTAATGGAGATGGGCAACTAGCTAGCTGAGGCCACCGCGGTAGCCGGTAGGAGCCCTGGAACCAGGTGGTGAAGATTGAAGGGAGTATCGTGTTATTAGAAATTATTCTACAAATTTCACATCAATCTCCTGAAGATCATTCAACAAATATGCAAGTATTCATAATCTTTATGATCTCACAAGATGTCTTCTAAAAAATTATTCGTGTTTGAATTAATTCGAACATCGGGTGCGGAGTATGAGATGATCGCCGCCGCCAGGAGATTCTCACAACTGAACAGCTGAAACTTATGATAAGTTATCTCAAGAACCTAAAAGGCGAGACATAACTGAAAAAGAATCTGTCGGTGGGTGATCCAAATATTGAAAGCATCGGATTAGATTAATTGTGGGAGGAGGATGAGATTATTAAGCTTTCCCATCTCAAAATCTTGCACTTGTAAAGTGCTGCAAAAGATGTCATCTGGTGTTTCTTGACCTGTACTTTCCTAATTAACTATAGAATATCATTGTGTGGCCCTTTGGCTACGCTTTTGATTTGGCGGAGCAATTGGTTCTTTCCTACAAACTGATTCCCATGTCATTTTCATCTTGCCATTTTCATACAAAACCCAACTACACAGGAAATGCATAGCACATGGTTCACTCTGTTTGATTCGATAGCTCGTGATTCACAAATACGCGCACTTATAACTATTTACAATACTATCAAAACGCATAAGTTTACAAATCGCGTGAAATCGCAGAACACTCGATCCAACGACATAATCTCGCCGACTGAATTGTCTCAACTCAGACAATGAGTAGTCTTATCTTCATTTCCTTCTCAAGAATCTGATATTGCTTTATCTGTCTGCAATATTCTGCTGGGGTCCAAAATGTGCAAACCCATCAAACTTGTATCCAGAATGGTATTAGATCCTTCCCTTATAACTCAGGAGAATCAAATTGATAAAGGAGCAAAAATATAAAACAAGGAAGAAAGAATATCTGTCTTTAGTTTTCAAACCCTTTTGCCACCATATCTTCTCTGCAAATTTAATTTACCTTGCTGCTTTTGTTCAATATGTTCCCTACATTTGCTATACATTCATACCACTCGAATAAGAATAAAAGTATATGTTGTTGTTTCCCTTTCCCTTTCCCTTTCCTTTCCTTTCCTTTGCTCTCCTTGCTTCCTCCAATCATCCCCAAAAAAAAGAACTCAACTGGATCTTGAATTACTGTTGGTGGCTTCTTTAGAGTTGCAACTTTAGTCTCATTGTATACCTTGCTTCCCTTTAGTTTCTCCCTTACTGTCTCTACACCCTATCTTTCAAAGCTAGCTACCTCAGGCCCCGGTAAGAATCGCGGAACCATCTGGTGAACAATGTGTTCTTCAGCTTCACAACAAAAGCAAACACTCCATAGCAAGGGATGTGCATCACCGCCACAGCGAAGTACCTGTGATCGTCTCAAGACATGATGGCATTAGACTATCTGCAGAAACTTCTGAATGGATCAAAAGTGGTGGAAGGATGAAGAATGCTTGTTTACCATAAGGGAACAAAGGGAGACGAAATATCGAGGAACGGATATGGCCACCTGCAAGTTGACACACATTGTTCATACGATGTAACACGAGTGGGGACGAGATTCTAAAGCCGATAAAGCGCGAAAAAGAAGCAAAGATAGTTGAAGGTATTTACCATATTTTGACAGAAGCGTGGAGAATCCACTGGAACAGCACATAAATGATTGTCCACATGATGAAATATGCTATCCTGAAAAATGGAAATGGCTGCACCAAAAAGAGAAGATAATTAGATATGAATCAGAAGGCAGAAAACAGTACAGTAAAACAGTTACAAGCTCACCAAGCAGTTCATGGCAGTGTCTCCAAGCAGGAAGATGGCATTCATTGAATGCATGCTTACTATCAACTGTCACATCAAAACAATGAGCCCACAAAAATAAAACCAGAATTAGACTCAAACAAATACCAAACAAAATAAGTTAGAAGCACACAGAAAGCAGGGGAAACAGAGGGGGGTTGGGAAATGCTTACTGCATTGAGATGGTAATCTTTGATTGCAAGAAACGGTACAATAACGAACCAAAACACACAATCAGTCAGCATCACAGCTCCAGCATTGATCTATTTCCAATGGCAGAAAAAAAAAAAACAAAACATAAACAAAACGAAGCTTCCTTAAGAAACAATCCAAGAAAAGATCAAAATCCTCAACAGACAAACGAAGAAACAGAGGAAATTGTTTGGGTTGGTACCTGGAAAATTATCTGAAATGCATAAACCCATTTCCCAGCAGGCTGCCGATGCAGCTCGAGGTATGAGGAATTCGAGCCTTTCATTGAACCATGCTCTGCATCTAACTCTGCATTACCGACCCTATCCCCGCTTGCTCTTATGTGATACTTGTAACATCCACCCACCGAAATCAAGCTCCCCATCTACACACAAAAGCCGTCATTAATGGTAAAGTTACAAACTTTAGTTGATTTGAGAAACCCAGAAAGCAAATGCAGGGGAAAACTCACAGCAAAATAGAGGGTGACCAGAGTAAATGTCCACCTGTTCCCACAAAACCCAACAGCCATCCATCAGAAAAATAACAAGAAGAGACAGAAAAGGCAGAGTTTTTATTGAGGGAAGAGTGAATAAAGATAGAGATTAGTGACTGACTGGGTATAGTAGTAAAAGATGGTGTTGCCATCGACGAGAACAGAGACGATGAGGAGGAGCAAGAGGACCAAGAATGCACAGAGCCTGAAAGCAAGAAGCCAAGCTGGATGAACTCCTTTCAACGACGGCATCCAAGCTTGATCATCATAGACAAAAGCTTCCCCTTTATTACTCCTTCCTTCTCCTCCTTCTTGCTCTGTTTCAATCCTGTTTGGAGGTTGCTCTTTTCTCCATATCAACACCAATGCAACGTTCATGGACACCAGAACCAACACCGCACAGAGCGAGAACCTCCAGTTGAGCCAGTAGCTGGCCAAGGTTGTGTCCCCGGACATCACCGGGTGCCACGTGTCCTCCGTTGATCCTGCTAGCAAGCTCATGATGGTGATCTCTTTTTTTGCCAAATCTCTTTATGTTTTTGTTCTAAAATGAATGCTTAACCAGCGAAGAGAGATGGGTTATATTCAAACAAGACCAGAAAACACTAAAAAGGGGGTGGAAATCAAAATCTGGAAGAGGGAAAGGTAAACTTGAGCATAATCAAATCCCAATGCAGCTGCATAACTGGGAACTCAGGCAAAAGCAGGGGAGGGTGAGAGGAAAAGGGGGATTCAATGGAAGTTTTGATTAAATATTATGGGGAAGGGTGTGTGAGAGAGAGGAAGAGGCTTGGAAACTACTTTAGGTGGGTGGGTTGTTTCAATTTGAGGGAAAGATTTGAACTTTTCGTTTTTGTGTTGAAAATGGCATGTATATATGCATGCAAATGGTATGTTGGTATGAAAACAGAGAAAATGGGTGGAGAAGGAGGAGAATTGCGAGGAAAGGAAAGGGTTAGATGCTTACAAGGGAAAGCAATAAGAGAAAGAAAGAGTGAGACAGCCTCTTAGAGTCCTGCCAAGCAGTTTATGCTTTGCTTCTATGCTCTGTTTTCAGATAAGAAGAAGAAGAAAACAAAACAGAGAGCTGGGGATGGAAAGGAAGGGAAGGGAAGTACAAAGGGCAATGTTCTTTGGCCAGAAGACTTCCCTTCTTCTGGTTTTCTCTTGATTAGTTTAAATTTCCAGCATTAAGAGTCTTTCTTTGGAGCAGCCTTTTTCGTCTCTGTTATTTTTAAGTGTATGGGAATTCTGAACATGCAATCGGGAGAAGGAAGCGTATTTGATTCTTCTTCGGAGCAGCTTTTTCCCGTCTTTCCTATTTAAAATGAAGCCTTGCGAGGCGACCCTTTTTGCCATTTGTATAGGAAGGACGACAGATCTTCAATTTGCAAAGCGAAAGAAGTGTGTTTGGGAAGAGAGAAAGAGAGGGAAAGGGAAGAGGCAGCGGGGGTGAAAGGGACATTTCACTGTTACAGTTTTTGGGATACTGTGAACAGAAACAGAGACAGCACAGGACACAGGGAAAGGACAATTGTTTGGAGATTGTGTTCTGTGTTGGTCTCCTCTTGTCTAGTGACTAGTGGTCTTGTCTTGGAACGTACGAGTAGGGGTGCGCAACGGGAAACGGGTATTTGGGTATACCCGTACCCGTCCCGTTTTTTAAGGGTTACGGGTATCCATATTACCCGTAATATTTTAAATGGATGGGACTTGGGATTGTACAGTCCTAATATGGGTACCCGCGGGTTACCCGCGAATACCCGTTTGGGTAATATGGGTACCCGTTGTACCCATTCAAAGTACAAAGATAGATTTAATTCAGTTAAGAACATACTGATGAGAAATATATGCTTTCATTTTTGGCAGGTGAGTATCCCAGGATCTTGGTACTTCATATGCTGGGGACATGTAGTCAGTGGGGAAAGTGTGGGAGCACCCTAAGTTTTGGAGATACAGTGGGAAAATGGCAGTGGGTTTGTCTTTGGGATGTAATTGTCTTTGGGATGTTTTGAAATGAATGCTTGTGCATACAGGGATTGAATTTATGTTTTTGATCATATCGTGTTCTTATTATTCCCCGCAAGAGCATGTTATTGTTAAGATATGTAATGTGATGTCATTTAAACTTTGGGTATTTTATGGGTAGTATGGGTACCCATTATCCGTCCCGTACGGGTAATGGGTACCCGTTTCCCATATGGGTTTGGGATATGGGATGGACTTTGGTCTCCAAATGGGACTGGGTACCCGTTTAAAACGGGACGGGTATCCCGTCCCGTCCCGTTGCCCACCCCTACGTACGAGTATGTGAATATGTATGACTTACCCTTTTTTCTCTTTGGTAAATTTTGACCCACAATTCACTCACTATCTTGGTGCTATGGCCTATGACACTCACACACCTTTAATAAGAGTTGGTTTGGCAATTTATCCGGTTTCGGTTTCTTTATGCAAACCTACTAAAGCTTCGTTGCTCCGAAACTGCAGTTACACACTTTCGTCGAAGCTGGTCGAACAGAATCATAAGTGACCTATCCAGCCAGACAATTGGCATATTCCGGTTTGTTACATCCAAATTGTTACCAGTTCCTAAGAACTATGAATAGTTCTTAGTGAAAGATTGCTTTTATATATATATATACACATACGTACTCAACAATGAATTATGTATCTCCTATCTATTAGATTGATAGATTCATAATCCTTCACACACACAGACAAGACATAATAGTAACAATACTTGACCAACTGTAGACCATCACATCGAACTTGTATCAAACTACACCGTCCAACAACAAACAAACAAAAAACCCATACAACACACGATGTTGGTCAAAAGACATTCTATACGTGAGAGAGAAAGCTCTATGTAGGAGACAAGAAACATCATCCATGCAACTCGAACACATATCCCTTGTTCCGCATAGATGGTGCATGCTACTAAAGGGAGGTCGTATAAAGTGGACAGGCAACGCACGTTGGGATTCGAACATGAAATCTCCAAATTGTAACTAGCGAGGGTACCCTAAAGCCTAAACCAAATCATTCTCCGCGCAACCCCGAATAGGTTTATGGGCAAGAAAGTGGAAACCAAAATTTTCTACTTCCTGGGGGGGGGGTTTCGTGGAGGAGAAGAAAATGGATTCTGTGTTAACGGTTGGTTAGGGTTTCAGACTTGCAGAGAGATCAAGTCGGCTGCCTGTACAAGAGTGAATCAGTTGGAATGGTGGGGTACAGTGAATCCTAGCTTATCAAGCAAGCTGTAGGTCCTTGTCGGCCCATCTCAACCGTCGATCCATCAAAGAGACTGTTCATGATTCGATCAACCATGGATTTGAGACCCAATCATCCGCGGCCGCAGCTGATCATGAAATGATGATGTTAGCTTTTTTTAACGGGCCTTGGAAACCGGGCCCCAGGTGGCAAAATCTCTCGTGGACCCTACACTTTGACCTGTTTGACTCGACTTGCTTGAACCCTAATCTCTCTTTCCCGTGCCGTGTGACGGTTACTATAAATTACCCAGGATTGGCGGATTAGTGGATGACTAACAAACCCAGTCCCTTAAGCTATGGTTTTAAACAAATTAAATTAGACACCGAGTTTGAGTTGGGAATAAGCTTTGTCTTCCCGGTTGGTTTGTATGATTCATCTACAAAATGATTCGTTTGTTCGTATATATAGACATTTGAGAAACGCAGATAAATATAGAGTTTGTATTAAAAAAAATTAAATGAGTCGTTGGTATAGTGTACCATTTTATCTAGGGGTGTGCAACGGTTTGGTCCGGACCGGACCAAACTCACGAGAACCGCGGTCCATTGGTGAAAAACATCTTAGGACCAAGGACCAGACCATCATTGCGTTCGGTTCATTTGGTCTGATTCGGTCATGCCAAATATCAACTCGGTCCATCATTTCTCCAGTAATTATAAAATTCATGTGAACCAAGGACCGAACCATATTATACTCGGTCTGATGAGGTCCAGTCCAAACTTTGATTTGGTCTGGTACGATCAGGACCCGGACCATTGCACACCCCTAATTTTACCACTATTTTTAATACGTTTGTATTTTCATGTTTCCTATCCCACTAAAATCAATCACGTAAAAAAATTATTTTACAAACAAAAAATTACTTGAGTAAGAGCTAGGTATAATACTACTTTTTAATTTCAAATAACAAATGTTAAATTTCTTTATAACAATTCAATAAAACTCAAATTTAGCCTAATTATAAAGAATAATGGAGAATTCCCTACAAAATGCTGGTGTTTGTTAATGAAAAAAATGCGTCGCTAAGTAGATGACCAGAGAGAGCAAAACGTTCATATAGGTTGGTGTGCCTAACACTAGGGTCAAGAAATGTTAACCCATCATGAAACACAAGCCAAGGCGGGTTACAAATTGGGGGTGACTCAGGATACAAGTTTAGTAGCCGCCCGCCTCGAACTCAACTCATTGCCATTCCTAGAGACTAAGAGGCAATCAAAACGATATCAACCCTGTGGGCTGTGGCCAGCCTTGGCCCATGGCATTAGATGCCCAACAATCAGCAGCGATTGGGCCTTTGAGCTAGAACAAGGAGGGAAAGATTGGGCTTTCTCGATCCACACATTATAGGCTTTGAGCCCTTTGACTCTGAACGAACAATAAGAGGACACGCTTCTCTCGATTTATCCATTAAAAGAAAACGCAGCAAAATATCTCTATGGCTTGGCTTCATTCAGCATCTCCTCCTCCGCGGGAAATCGAATCTTCCCTATCCATTTTCCAGAACTTCAGGCTGTAAGTTACCTTTCTGCCCTTCCTCTTTCCCCGTGAGTTCCAATCCTCCACCGCGTACCCCAAGGTTATTCCGGGTAATGGGAAAATCCCTGAAATTGAATTATTGAAATCCCTTTGTTTCTGTTTTCAGTTTTAAGATTTATCCCACGCCCAAAAATAGTCGAATTCCCTCGCAGCGCGGCCGCAGATCCCGCCGCTATTTTATTTAATTATCATTGGTTTTGAGTTCATCAGAATCCCGATCGCCGGTGAACGGAGGGCGGAGCGAGCGGGATGAATGCGGTGAATATCAAATTGTGTGCTGATTTTGGAGTCGGCGGTGCGAGGGCGAGGAGGAGTTGTTTCCCCGTTCGGAGCTCCGAATTGGAGAGAAGGCCGCAATCGCTGAGCTTAGGGTTTTCAGCCGGTGCCCGGAGCTGTCGCATTGTGGCATGCTCTGCGGAGCGTGACAGCAATGGCGGCGGCGGAGGAGAAACGAGCTCGTCTTCCTCTTCTTCTTCGAGTTCGGAGGCGGCCGGATCTTCAACGAAATCGTTCCTGTCGCGGAGTGAGACTTACGCTATGCTCAAGCAGCAGATGGTGGTCGCCGCACAAGCAGAGGTATTTTCATTCTTTTCCCCCCTCTTCTGTTAAAATTTCCCTTTCCTTTCTCATCCCTCAATTTTTTTTTTGGTGCTTTAATGAAGGACTACAAGGAAGCTGCGAGAATCCGCGATTCTTTGAAAATCTTCGAGGAAGAGGAGCCGCTTCTTCGGCTCCGTCAGCAATTGAAGGACGCAATCCAGGAAGAACGTTTCGAGGTAACCTCTTTTGATTCAATTATATTTCCTCGTGGTTCTGTAGGGTTTTGATTCTCATTCACCGCTGGTTTTACTCAGAATGAGATCGAGCAAGTTAATGGTGCTATTTGCATTTGTATCTTTCGTTCCCACCCTTGATTTAGATGGTTAATCAGTTGCCATTTTTGGGTTATGATGGCGGGTAGGATGCAACTAAGTACCGTGATGAGCTAAACCAACTTGCCCCGCATTCTCTCTTGAAATGTTCAAGCGATACCACCACCCTGGTATGCGAGCTTTGTGATCATGCAATTCCACAGAAACTAAATGGGGAGAGAAAAAGGCCTGCTGTAATCTGGGTCTTTGTCTGCGTATATTGCAGGGGATTAGAGTTCAAGTTAGGAGCGTGTACATTGAGACTCGTAGCCAGCCATTGAAGGGGCAGTACTTCTTTGCATATAGAATAAGAATCACCAATAACTCGGACCGTCCAGTTCAGCTTCTCAGGAGGCATTGGATCATCACCGATGCTAACGCCAAGACTGAGAATGTCTGGTGAGTTGCGTTGGATATCACATTTCTGTGTCACCAGCATTTTTTCGCCTATCTATTGCTTCTTTGTGTAGCAAGGCTTCTGACTCACTACCTGACAATGTCTTGCAGGGGAATCGGGGTAATTGGTGAGCAGCCGGTAATACTTCCCAAGACGGGATTTGAGTACTCTTCTGCCTGCCCGCTATCAACCACGAATGGTCGTATGGTAAGCCCATTCTGACTTTCCCTTCTCCTTCTAGTTTACAGAAGTTGTGCTGTTGTTTTCAATTCAATCTTGAGCTCAGTGCCTAGATTGGGAAGCAAATGAACTATGCCTTAGTCGAGACTAGTAGAGACTAGTAGTGAACTCAGAAAGCACTAATGCGCAGAGGTGTGCTGATGGCTATATGCCCGTCTTTGTGTTTGTTGGTATGCAATTGCAGGAAGGTGACTTTGAGATGAAGCATATAGACCAAGTAGGGTCACCGTCCTTCAACGTGGCTATCGCGCCATTTTCTCTATCAACGATGGGGGAAGAAAGTGATATTGTATGAAATGCGAGGCTGTGATTTATGGAAGCGAATATCGGCATGTTGTTGTTCATCACCAAGTTTGCATCGTCAAATTGAAGGGTCGAATCCCGACTCATGAGTTCCTTGTGCCGTTGTTTCGTGGGTGTGATCTCTCCAGTTTCTCGTTAGCAAAGCAAGAGGAAGAACTACGAAGCGCATAGCAACCGTTGTAACATATGTATGTATATTCTCCACAGTTCCTGGTAAGGAGGAATTCTGGGAAGTTGTATGTGTTTCACTTGTTTAAACTACCTGGCAGGCGTACAATGAACACAATCTCTATGTGCTTGAAACAGCATTTCTTTGGCGAGAGGTGTTGTAGCTGTATTTGAGAATATACCGAATATCATAATGAATTCACTATTGTTTAGAAAATACAGATAGCGTATCAAAATATTTTGGGATTGAGATTGTGATGATCGGAATTAAAATTATTTATAAGGAATTTTCACCCCTAACCATGGGGGCATTAAAGCATCTTCAAGAGGGAAGAGAAGGCAGCCATGTACTTTGGTTCCTTCCGTTTAGGTGCATGGACACATCTATGTATCTTACACAAGTCCCATCTCACCAAACTTGTGCTAGCAGCCACCACCTAGACAACAACACACATTTTGTCCTCGTCCCATCCCAACATCTAAAACTTCAATTTTGCCTCTTCTACTCTTTTTCTTTTAAATCCCTTTATTTCTTTGAACATATTTTTTTGAATGCATAATGATGGATCATAAGGAGAATCTAGTTGAAGTTTGTGTCTTTTAATTTCCACGGAATCCTTTCCTTTTTTTTCTTAGCTATGAAAATAGAAAATAATAATGTCACTCGCCAACCCACTTACTGGCTCACTCCACACAGCTGGGTAGGAATGACACTGGGGCAGGTTCGGAGTGGGTTTTTTGTGCACTTAGACCCGTCTCGTGGCAGGTCGAGTAATTTATCACGGGTCATGGGTTGGGGCAGGTCGACTCAATGAGTATGCAATTTATATAAAAAACATTAGAAATATTCGTTATTTTTATTATAAGACCAAGGAAACAAACAATATTATGATAAATGTAGTTAAATTATTAGAGAAATTGAGGTTTTCGCTAATTTACAACTTTATTATAGCTAAATTATGATGTAATAAAAGAGAATTATTAAGTAATTTGACTAAGATTACATGTAATTTAGGCAAGAACGTGTCGAGAATGGGGTAGGACAGGGTAGGCAGGGTCGATGGGAGTACTCGCCCCAAAAGAAGCCAAACAAATCGGGTAAAACGAGTCAGGTCGAAATTGTCATCCCTACCGCTACGGAGCATAGTCGCAGCTAACCCTAGAAAAAGAAAATTGTTGCCAAAATTACTAGAGACAAAATGCCACATTTTAGGCCCTGTTCACTTCCATTTTCGTTTCCTGTTTTCTGTTTTCATGTGATAAATTTGGCAACCGAAATGAGAAAACTTGTTTACTTTTCATTCTGTTTTCTATTCGTTTCCAACTATGAAAACAGAAAGTGACAACTTCCTGCTGTTTTCGGAAATGACAAAATGTTGTTTTCATCTGTTTTCAACATCTGTTTTCTCAAAAACTGGAAACAGAAATGAAAGTAAACAGGCCCTTAAATAAAGAAAGTTGCTCCGAAATATCCGCCTCCTTTTCTTAAATTCCTAACCAAACGGACCTTTCCTTGCCAAAAGCCCAAAAATTCCAGTGGCCACGGCGGACTGTTACACCAAACTTCGACGGACTTCTCAACGCCCTTTCTTCAAAAATCTCTCCCAACTCCCAGCCTACCGCCTTCCTTCACTCACTCCTCTGCTTCATCCTTCCCCTCTTCAGCTCTTCGCTTCCTTCAATCACCGAGGAAGAAATGCAGAGCGCCGCCTTCACCACCTCCCCTACCTTCCTCCGTCCGCTCCGGACTTCCCCGCCCTCCAACAACCCTAGGTTGGGCTTCCGCTTCGACCCAATTCGAGCTACCGGCCGGAACGATCTCGGCGCTGCTTCCAGCAGCAATGTCGTTTTCCCCCGCCGGTCCTGGTCCCTCGGCAACCCTGACTCCAAGCTCCAGCTCAGGCCGTGGAACCCCCTGCCTCCGCTTGAGAAGAGGGCGGAACGGTTCGAGGTGAAGGCTACTGCCGAGACCGCCGGTGAGGAAGACAAGTCCTCTAGCTTCACCAAGACTCTGGTGCTCGGATCGTTGTTTGGGCTTTGGTACCTGTTCAACATCTACTTCAACATCTACAACAAGCAGGTCCGTTTTGGATTTGATTCGTCTGTCTGTGTTCCCTTCAGCTTTGAATCTTGTTTAGGCTATTAGTTTGTTTTCTTGGTAGTGGAATTGTTTGAGAGTGATTGTTGTCGACGTGGGATTTGGAATTTGCGCGAAATGTTTAGATCACCTGACCGAAATGGTGGTTGGTGAAGAATGGTTTTGTAATGGGGCGAATTTGTTTACTATAGGCATAGAGAATCCCTTAGCAAGTCAAGCCAATTCGTGGGCAGTGGTGTTAGTCAAAGGATTTCATATTGTTTATAGATATACGAAGAATCCGATTCTTTCTTCACTTGGATGTGGCATTCACTTGTGGAAACTCTAGCAGGTGTTCAAAAGTGTTCTGATTTGTGATTCCTATGCATTGTGCAGGTCTTGAAAGTCTTCCCTTATCCCGTAACGATTACCGCTATCCAGTTTGCTATGGGTACTGCTCTTGTTACTTTCATGTGGACTTTCAATCTCTACAAGAGGCCAAAAATTAGTGGCGCTCAGGTACTGTTTGAAATTTGGATGCTTTCTTTTGGTGCCGATGTATGGCGCACTGGACTGGATGCTTTGAGTTTGTGAGGTTTTGATGAGATAGCTTTTACTTGGAACAGCTTGCTGCAATAGTGCCTCTTGCGGTTGTACACACGCTTGGCAACCTCTTCACTAACATGAGTCTTGGGAAAGTGGCCGTTTCGTTCACTCACACTATCAAAGCTATGGAGCCATTCTTCTCGGTTCTTCTCTCTGCAATGTTCCTTGGTGAGGTATGTCTTGCACCCTAATTTTGTTTCGTTTCACTCAAACCACGAAACCTGATGGATACCCTTTAATGAAAGCAATGTATTAAACAACAAGAATTTAGTAGGTGGTATTTCTTTTGTTCCAATTTTTATGCTAAAACGATTCGTGACACTGTGCTTCTGCTTGTACAGTTTCCTAGTCTTTGGGTGGTTTCTTCTCTTTTACCAATTGTTGGCGGAGTGGCACTGGCATCTATGACTGAAGCCTCATTCAATTGGTAAGTACTGGCTGTACTGCAGATATTACTATTTTTGGATCCCTGTTTGCTTGAAGCATTTCTCTTTATAGTTATTTCTTGGCAGTGGCTTCTTTCCCTCTCGAAGGAATGATTTGTGTTCTGGAATATGATTTGTCTCTCTATTGTGTTGTTTGATATATATATAGGGCTGGTTTTTGGACTGCAATGGCTTCCAATGTGACCAATCAATCTCGTAATGTCCTGAGCAAAAAAGTCATGGTGAAGAAAGAGGTACTTTCCCCCCTCATTTACTACTGCCTATATTCCAGTGAATATATCTTTTGCTCGTATATGTCCTATTGTTTGTCTTTGGGATGTGCTTTGATGCATTCCTATGTTGCTTGTTAACAGGATTCTATGGACAACATCACCCTCTTCTCAATCATAACAATTATGTCATTTATTTTGCTGGCTCCTGTGGCTCTCTTTATGGAAGGTGTCAAGTTCACTCCAGCTGCCCTCCAATCCGCTGTATGTTTCCCTGTAGAAAGCTTTAGATTTCTGCACATTGACACAAATATGCTCGTTTCCTTAACAAAACAAAAAATTACCCTTTTGTTGCACAACAGGGATTGAACGTTAAACAAGTGTGCACTAGGTCACTACTTGCTGCTCTATGTTTCCATGCCTATCAGCAGGTGAGAGCCCTTTTGTTTTCTTTAGGATGGTTCCCGTTGGTCTCGATATATTCTTGGCTGCTCTTTATCTCCCTAATATTGCTATTTTTTTTTTCTTCTGTTGCTATTATGACTGTACGAGTTATTCCACTTTTTCGCTTAACTTGCTGTTCGTTCAAATGTATCTGCAGGTTTCCTATATGATATTGCAGAGGGTATCACCTGTAACCCACTCAGTCGGCAACTGTGTGAAGCGAGTGGTGGTCATTGTGAGCTCTGTTATATTCTTCCAGACACCTGTTTCACCTGTCAATTCTCTAGGTAACCACACGCCTGTGCTTTCAAGAATTTCCCATCTCGTCCATTTCCTCGTATTGACAAACGATGTTGTGCTCTGCTTGCAGGCACCGGAATAGCTCTAGTTGGAGTGTTCCTATACTCGAGAGTGAAGAGCATTAAGCCAAAGCCAAAGCCAAAGGAAGCTTGAAAAAGTGTTGTGGATAAATTTTGTTTTTGCGGAATTGGGGTTTCTTTCTTTCGTTGATAGCCATTGTTATATGTTTTCTTGCATTCGAAGGAACGCAACTGATTCAGACCAAGCGAGGAACTTCAGGGTTAGGCTGTGTAACTGTGTAAGTGTGTTTTTCTTGCTCTGTTTTCTTATTGTGTTTGATCCCCATTTTGAGGACGAGGATATTGTGATGTGGAGGTGGCTTAGCTGGGTTAGGGTTTTTACTGAGAATAATTGTACACGACCTGGTTAGGGCAAATTTTAGTAGAGGAAATATCTCGGTTGGCAAATTTCTTTGGCAAGTTGTACTTTTGGTGTTATTGGACCACTGCACAAGCGTTGTTTTGTGTCTATTGGTTCTTGTCCTTGAATCTGGCCGGTAAAAGGTCCTGATTCATGCATAGTTTCCATGCAAAACATTTTTTTTTCCACCTAGTGCGTCAAATGGAGTTTTATAAATACTTTATAAATCCCAACAACTAGTGCTTCAAATTGGTTTCTACAGGCCTTATACTTTATAAACTTCCAAACAACTCCCACTAATGTGTACTTCATGCCAAACATTAAACAATCCAAAAATAAACACAAAAAAACGAGCAAAGAATTCAAGGCATGAAACAAAAGATACACTTGCAAGTATGTGTCACTCAAGACACCATGTCCTTTCTACGTCATGAAGGCATCTAGAATTATATGTCTTCTTGGTTTTCCTTACGACATTGTTGATGCACTTGATAGTTTGCGTATGTTCAATCCCCTGTGTTGATACATATATTTATATCAACATGGACTTCTACAAACAAGAACCTAACTTTTATGAGTCTGTATGACATTTCCATACATGATATTGTAGTCGCGACTGGTCAAATGGAATCATCCATACCATTTATCGTGAATATTCTTAGTCTTTCCTATCACATTGGTATACCATTCAAGGAGCCCTAATATTTACCCACAATACGAGCCACATTATCATGGCTTTTTTGAATCAAATGAATGCAAACATTAGGATCCAAATCCTAGAACCCTGGGCAATGGATATCAAGGGAAACCTCAAATGAAGGCAATGTTTAACTAAGAAACTCATAAAATCAAATCAACGAGTGATGAATCTTGATTATCTTACGTGGGTCAACACAATAAAATGATAACTTGCATGACATGAGCATATGCATATAGCGGGATTCCATCCAAATGAGTTGCTTCCTCGAAATTCTCCCACTTAATTCAGTTGGATTTGAATCTCGCTCATGGAGCATATGTCATCCATGTCATAGGAGGCCAAAGTACTCCTACTTTAGAACTCATACCTTGAAACACATAGGCATTGAGCACTGGGAAGAGCACATTATCAAATCCCATATCGCGTCCCATTTTGATTAGAATCATGATCAACGTAACTTTAAAATCAAGTAATTATGTGATGATACATAACTCTCCTCGAATAAACATATCCCACCTAGCTTGTAACTCTATGCAAGTCTTGTATAGAGTACAAGCATGGCCAGCATTTATTCAGTTGAGTTATCTCATCACATTCGAGCTAGATTGGAAGCAAATCGATTGTGTGAGTGATCAATTCTCACCTATGTTGTCATATCCTTTTCATTTCTCAAGTCTAACATAGAAGGTATCAAGTGAAACCAAATTATATTGTGGCCTAACCAACTTTGAATACTTTAGGCATATACATCACACTAATGTATATTGAGCATAAGCGCCATAACTTAAACGATTGCAATCTTAATTAATCACTTAGTTTATTTTTTTGCTCTTCCGTTGAAATAATTAGTGCATCTAGATACCTACTCATATGTCCACGTCAAAATAACACAAGATAATTCTTCATTTTAAAGATATTTTCTTATGTAGTAGATTCGACAAGAGTTATCAAGACAAACTCTTCAACAGAACAACGTTAATTTTTGTTCCTTCTATGACCCTGTGCAAACTTCAATCCCTCGTGAACTGATTAACTTAATCATATTCGTAAAATCAATCCTAACACAAATGATGACCTTGCTTGAACTAAACATATATAATCCAAACAGTAATCAAAATTGCAGGACGGATGGGAAGTTTCAGACACAGAATTGATAATTAATTATTCTAAGGGTGGCTTTGGGTTGTCAGAAATTAAAGATCACACTGATAATTAAATTACAGATTATGTGCGTTTAAATTGCAAAACCAATTAATTCTTCCTTTGTGTAATTTACCGATTGCCTTTACTTCAGGAGACCACATTTACTGAGTCCAAACCCGTAACATTCACCTCATCAGCTTCAGTTTCCACTACCGGGGTGCAACAAGTACCTTAAAAATCCCATTAATTAGGTTCCGGTTAAATCGGATTCAATAAAACATATTTTTATCTAGAATGAAAAAGGTAAACTCCTATTCATAAAATATGAAAGTGTCGGCGCGCAATTATCTCAACCGCTCAACTTCTTAGTACCAGATTTACTTACAATTGGAAATGTGAATAGGTGGGGCGAGTCGAGGTAGGTAACTCAATATTCATGCATCAGACGTACACCAAATTGGGTAAATATCTATATGGGGTATGGATCGAGGCAGCTGGCTGATTCATTTTTAGATGCGATAATAATCGTGTAATAACATCTTGATTTCTATATGGAAAATAAAATGAGAGTACCTAAATAAAAAAGGAAGAGGATCATGGTATCACGAACTAGAATTATGTGAAAGCACTAAATTAAAACCACATTAGTTCATATAAGAGTTTGAAGTAGCATATATACTCGGTAAATTTCAGCATGGAATGGGATGTGTTGTACCTATGCAGAATGGGCCAGAACTTATAAGATAATGCGGGTCAATTCGAAATGATACCATCTCGATTATGAATGATTTATTTACTATATTACGAGATAGAAATGATGAATATCATAAAATTGAGTTAGATAAATTAAATACCAGGTTATCTAGCAAACATATTTCTTGATGTGATATTTTTAACACAATAGATTCCAAGTTGCATAATGTTTTGTGATCCTAATTAAATAAAAAAATATTTCTTCTTAATGTCGATATAACGAAAGTATAGTTGATTGAAATACAAGTCACGGTTAAAATAAGAAATCGCTTTAAAGGAGAAGATTATCCTTTGGTCTATATTGTATCACTAGCGTGGGCCCCGGCCAGTTGGCCGGAGGAAGATAAGCTATGAAATTTGAGAATGTAATGCAGTGTATGACGTATTGTTGTATAGTTTTTTTTGGAATCACATGATAAAAATAGTGAATTTTAGCAAGAAATGGACATGAATGATGCAACGAATAAAAAATCAACCTTATAAACCAAGTTCGAGTACCTTTTACTTTATGAAATAGTGTTATAAACGCGCTGCTACGGATCGGGAAATCGCCGGAATCGACAAAGCAAGAATACGAGAGCGAGAATCGAAAGAACACAGACACACGATTTACGTGGTTCACTAACACGATGTGTGTTAGCTAGTCCACGGGCGAGAGAGAGCCAGTTTCACTATATCGAGGAGATTACAGATTACAGAGGAGACCCCCGATTACCAGTCGTAGCGGCTGATAATCCGATTCAAGTCATATCAACAAATCTCCACCTTGACTTGAATCCTCTTCCTCTGAAATCTCTGATGTACTCTGCTCCTTCTCTCTCTCCCGCCATCAATGCCTCGTAGGGCGGAGTCACCCACTCAAGACATTCAGCAAGTCCAAGCAGTGTTGGAACTTGCCATGTGGAACCGGCTTCGTGAACATATCAGCAGGATTATCCGCGGTGCCAACCTTCTTCACCTTAATCCTCTTCTCTGTCCTCAAGAAATGATACCTCACGTCGATGTGCTTAGTCCTCTCATGGTGGACTTGATCCTTGGCCAAGCATATTGCACTCAAACTGTCGCAATACACCACTGCCTGATCATGATGTAGACCAAGATCACCAACCAGTCCCTTCAACCATATTCCCTCCTTAGCAGCTTCTGTCAACGCCATATACTCTGCCTCAGTAGTAGACAATGTCACCGCCGACTGCAAAGTTGCCTTCCAGCTCACTATAGAACTCCCAAGAGTGAATACATAACCAGTCATCGATCTCCTCGTGTCAACATCTCCAGCATAGTCCGAGTCAGAATACCCAGACACCAAGCACTCTGTATCACTTCCGAAGCTAATCCCCACATCAGGTGTACCCTTAAGGTACCGGAAGATCCTCTTCACAGCCTGCCAATGCTCCTTCCCAGGTTGTATCATAAACCTGCTGACAACACTAACATCATGTGCAAGATCAGGTCTAGTGCATACCATAGCGTACATCAAGCTACCTACTGCACTAGCATATGGGACTCTCGACATGTACTCCTTCTCAGCGAGACCCCCGATTACCAGTCGTAGCGGCTGATCACAATCGTTGCTAGATTTTACTCCGCCCGTTGGCCGATTAATTTTCGTTATAAAACTTTCATCTTGTCGTCATTGTGCTTTCGGATTTTTCCCAGGTCATGATAAAATCTAAAGAAATCAAGGCCGAACAACCCGATTTGGGATAGAAATCATTGTTCCTGTATCCCTAGAAAATGATGGTAAACACGGACTCAGCCGCCGAACTGGTTTGGATTGAGATTTTTATCGGGTGTCAGAGAACCATGTGATTATTAATTAGACTTGATCAAAACGGGCCAAAATTTGAAATTCAGCCTATTTGATCGACTCATGCCAAGCTCCATTTATTCTTTACATTCAAACTTTCTATTTGAAAATAAAAAATAATGAAAGAAAAGAGATGACTACAATTCGCCATTTGCACATCACTGCTTCGGGAACAAAACCATAAAAATTCGAAAGGAAACTAAAAATGTTTAGGATCGTTTTAATGTTAAAAATAACCAAATGGATCTTTCTGTTTAGTTTTTTACTAACAAATACCTTGCGATTCCCTATAAAATACACTATAATTTAATCATTATGATATCAAATAATTACATAATATATATTTAAAATTATAAAAATTGGATTAATTGGGTTGGTCGAGGTTGAAGCATTTAATAACTTTAAAATATATTATATTTTAGCCCATTAGAATCCATGCATTAGTTTATTGTTAAATATTTTCATTTTTAGCAATAATAAAGGAGTATTGTTTTTCCCTTTCATATATATCTTACCAACACCGAGAAATAAAAGGGCTAAACAAAACATGTTTTGTTTTTGTTGGGCCGCAACAATTCCTGAGCCTGTTGAAGTCCGCATGTGTATGGTAAGTTGGCCCGTTCCACAGAGAAAAGAGAAAAAAAATTGACACTACATATTCTACCATTCTTACAAACGCTCATGGGGCAGGGAATTTGAAATGGGGAAAGGGTTTTGACACTATTATATGTTTGTAATTTAAAAAGATACTACAACTGTACTT